TCTGGTGTACAGCAGTGACTCAGTTATACATACATATAATAGTTTGCATTTACTAATCCCAAACTCCCAATCCATCCCTCCCCCAAGCTTTTTATTTTTAATATGGTGAAATACACATAACATTTACCATTTCAACCATTTTAAAGTGTACAATTCAGTGGTGTTTAGTACATTCACAATGGTGTGCAATCATCACCTCTATCTAGTTCCAGAACTTTCTCATCCTCTGAAAGAAAACCCTGTGTCCATTACCAGTCACCCTCCATGCCTCTCCCCCCTCAGCCCCTGAAAGTCACTCACCTACTGTCTGTGTGAATTTACTGATCCTGGACTTTTCATGGAAATGGATACAGTACATGGTCTTTTGTGTCCAGCTTGTTACCCAGCATAAGGTTTTCAAGGCTCATTCATGTTAGACATGCATCAGAATTCCAGTCCCTTTTAGGCCGAGCAATATCTCATTGTAGGAACAGACATTTTGGGTTTTGTTTGCCCCTGTATCTGTTACATTTGGGTTGTTTCCACCTTCTGGCTACTGTGAATACCATAAACACGCTTGTACAAGGATTTCTGAGTCTCTTTCAGCTCTCCCAAGTGTGTCTCAAGGAGTGGACCTCTGCTGGGCTCTGTGGTAACTGTTCCCCACACCCTCTCCAGCACTTGCTGTCTCCATGTCTCTCTCGCCCACGCTCCCCCCCCACCACCACTTGTCTTGTTTTTAACCCACAGGATTTGGGGCGGGAATGGGAAGGCACTCCCAGGACTGAGGTGCTGCCTGTCTGGCTAGGAGACCCTGTCCCTCACCCGCTGCCCTGAGCCACCCTGTGGAGGGCCTCCTGCCAAAGCTGGAAAGCCGCTGACTGCTGCCACGACCAGGTGAGCTGGGGAGGACCCTTCCCCAGTACAGCCTCAGATGACACCCCTTGACTGCAGCTCTGAGAACCCTGATGCTAAGAAGCGGTGGGACAATAAATGTGTGTTGTTCGTGGTAAGTGATTTTCAAAGAGAGCAGAGACCTCTGACAGGGATTGTGGGGGAAGATGGGGGCTCCCAGGAGCTGGAGATGTCCTATCTCTGGACCTGGGTGCACATGCAGGGCCTGCTCCTCGTTCTCTAAACAAAGTGTTTTGTGCTTTCTTCTGTACAGAGCCTGGGCCTGGCCTGGGGCTGACTGGCCTGGATTCCCAGGCAGGCTGAACTTCGGTGGGGCTCCAAAGGAGGCACTAGCAGCTTCAGAAGGAGGCCCGGGACAATACAATACTGTATTGTAATATATCACATTATTATGTAATTATAAGCATCATACTATATATACAATGATACTGTGTTATATGTTTGAAGTTGCTGAGTAGAGGTTAAAAGTTCTCACCACAAGAAAAAAATAATGTCGCAATATATACATATATCAAATCATTACACCTGAAATGTAACATTTGTCCATTACATCTCAATAAAAATTAAAATATGAAGGTGGTCGGGATCCAGGTGGGGGAAGTCACCTTGGCTGGCCGCTCGCGACTTCTCTCCTGGACAGTGAGGACAGTGCTCCTCGCACAACCTCCTTGGGAGGGCACCCCCAGCCCCATGGACACTGGGCAAGGAAATCAGGCAGGCCAGGCTGTGGGGATGACACGAGGAAGGGAGCCAGCCATGGAGGGCGGGGAGCAGGTGCCCCAGGGAGGGAAAGACGGAAGAGCAGAAGAGGCCGGAAAGCGCCAGAGAGCTGTGGGTGCTCAGGACACGCAGGGACCCCCAGGGACCCCTCGGGCTTTCCCAGTGGACTCCCAGGTGCCCCGGGGCAGGGGGTGGAGGGTCGCCTCCGATCAGGGATCACTGGCACTTGGTGGCAGACGTGTAGGTCCTCAAGCAGCCATCAGCTTTGTTGCCTGTGACCCCGCGCCCAGGGCCATGTGGCACCAAAGCCTCCTGTGCTGGAGCATGCCCAGGGGTGTGGGAGGAGGAAGGGTTGTCTGAGGGCCGGGCTTAGGGCCTGTGCAGTGGACATAAAGGAATACAATGTGCCAGCAACTGTGGACAGGACTCAACCCTCTTCTCCTCCGGTCCAAACAGAACAAGTGTTATTTTCCGCATGTGCCCTGGTGGCAAGAGCTTGAAGCCCTGCTCTAAGGAGTTGGACAGCAGCTCAGTTCATGTCCCAAGAGATATGCCACTGAGGGTTTGCAGCTGGTGGCCCAGCTGTCGGGGACCCCTCCTGCTGCCCCCAGTCCAGCTCTCAGTGTGTTCCGGACTAGCAGCACCAGGAGCCCAAGGAAACTGTTACATTCTTGGTACCAATACAGGCTACAGGGTGGATGAACCCTCCAACACCACGCTCAGTGGTAAGAGGTGCTAGTCACAGGTCACATCGTGTGATTCCAGAGACAGAAAGTAGATTAGTGGTTGTTCAGGGCTGGGGCCAGAGGGAAGGGGGAGTAACTGCTAATGGGTACAGGGTTTGGGGTGATAAAAATGTTCTACAGCTACACAGTAATAAACTAGACAGCACAACATTGTGAATATACAAAACCCACTATACCATACGCTTTAAAGTGGTTAAAATGTTGAACTTCATGGTAGGAGCATTTATCTCAATCAAAAAAATCTACCTGAAAAATAATAAAGTCTACATTCTTGGACCCCTCCCTAGACCAAGAAAAAGTCTGCAGGGGGTGGGGGTGGGGGAAGCCACCTGTTTTAACAAGTCCTCCAGATGACAATGACATGCAATAAAGTCCAAAAACCACTTAGCTGACCCAGTCTCCCCAGAGCAGGACCACGTGTGGGTTCTAAGCCCCACTGTGGCCCCCATCCCATTCCCAGGCAGGGGGCCCACCAGAGGCACTGCTTGTGCACACCCCCTCCCCAAATCACACAAACCATGGCTGGACACGGCCCCCCAGCCCCCAGGCCCAACCAAGAGCACCCAGCTACATCCTGGGAGGATATCCCTGTATCCACATGATGCAGCGAGGGCCTGGGAGCTGCCTTGGATGCAATGGGCTCCCACGCAGCAGCAGAGCCAGCACAGATCCTCCAGCCCTCCCTTCCCTAGATTGTAGCTCTGGGCCTGGCTAGAGATCCCCAGAAAGGGGAGAGCAGCCGAAACAGCCCTGCCCCCCCAACAGCCTGCGGCCTCCGTGCACTTAGGAGACTCCACAACCTGCACAAGGTGCTACCACCATGCCACACCCCACCCCTGCCAGTGGCCAGAAGCATGGTGTGTGTGTGGGAGTCCCTGAGAATTTGGTGACAGGGAGGGTCTGAGGGCACCACAGAGCCCTGGGGTTGACCCCAGGGGCCTAGGGCCCACCATCACCATGGGCCCCGGAAGCATCTGCACCTATTGGCTGGGCCGACCCAACTCTCTGCTAGGATTGCAATCATCTCCCTACCTCCATCCCTGCTCTTCCCTGTTAAATGAGTGATTCCCCACATCAGTATTTTAACAAGGAGTGAGGGGGCTCAGGTAGGTGGCCCCCTCCGGCCCCAGTCCCCTCCTCTCAGCACCCTCTGGGTCCTCCACCCACCTACCAGGCCCTCTGCTGGAACCCACCCAGGGTGCGCTGTGGCGTCCTCAGAGCAGCCTCGGTGTCCTGGGTTGTGCACTGCCCCCACCAGTCTGACCTCTTCCTCTGCCCATCCAGAGCAGAGGGCCACGGCCGGTCTGCTGCACTCCTATGCCCAGGAGTTGGGCCAACACGGAGAACCCAAGGCTCAGGGGTCAGGGAAACCGGGCTCTCAGGCCCTGTGATGTGCCAGGGGCAGGCGGGTGCCTCCAGCACAGAGGCTGGAAGAGCCAGGTAGCAAGGGCTCCCACTGCCTCGTCCTGGATGACTGGTGAGCGTCCAGGTGTAAGGGGAGCAGAAGCCGCCCTCCAGGCCCTCCTGGGCGTCTTGACTCCAGCGCCACCTGCTTTCTGGCTGTCGGGACCCCAGACCTCCTAAGTACAGGGACACCATCTGCCCTCTGCCTCTTCAAAACCACCTCTCTACGGACAGTGGCCACCACAGTGATTGCCACTCAACTGTAGACTCACAAATGGTTACAGTGGTAAACGTATGTGTACTGCACGACAATAAAAACAGGACAAAACCCCAAAACATCCCTTCCGGAGGTGACGAATGGAGGTGTGAGGAGCTGTGCAGCCCTGCCCCGGCTTCCCGCTCAGTCCAGCCCCCACCGTCACAGGCCAGGCTACACCGTTGAGTCGGGAACCCATGACCATAGCCCTCACCCCCTTTGCCTCTACCCTCCCAGGAGACCTTTACACCCCCTGCCCCGCCCCCGACCCAGGCTTTCTGCCAACTTGTATCCACTTCCCACCTGGGAGGGCACACCTCCACCCACCTATCAGACAGATACTCACCCCTGGCTTCCCAGTGGTCTCCCACTGTGAGCAGGGTTATGTTCCAGCATGTTCTGGCCCAGCCAGAAGCTCCCTCCAAAAATACCCCCACAAAAGTGAAAACAAGAAAAGAGCTCCCAGTTATACTTTTCTGAAGGGCTCACTTTAGCAATACGTGCAAAAGGGCTGAGGGAGAGTGGGTAACACCACCAGGCCCCCCAAGGGTGAGTCAAACCACACCTGACCCCAAAGTCAGCACGCCACCCTCTGAAGACCTCGTGGCTGTCATGCAGATACTATGCACGGGTCTTTCTTGGCCCTAAGTAACTCCAAGAGGGGGAACTGTAGTTCATCTGAGCTCGAGTGCCATGCTGAGGCTGCTTACCACAAACCAGACAGGCAGTCCTCGGTAAGAGCGCAGCTCAGACTTCAGAAAGACATGTGGAGCCCACAGAGCAGACGGCCGGGCACATCCGGCCCCAGCCAGTCTGGGTGTTGGAGGTGCACAGCACATCATATGCCAAAAGTCAAAGGGGAGTCCAACGTAAGTCACATTTCTAAGCTCAAGTCAGATGACCCCTGGTGTGTCCCCCAACCTGTGGAAGCCACGGCGAAGTCTAGCACACCGGGGACAGGAGAGACTGCACCGCGGCCGTCAGGAAGCAGTCTGTCAGGCTATTTATTCCCACTTGACATAACCCAGAACACAGGAGCAACTCTGTACATCTCGAGAAACTCACAGCTAGCTCCAAAACAATAGAAATGGTAAACTACAAAAGATGAGTTGTATTCAGCAAATATAAAGGGTAACGTTAGGCTGTGTCAAACATGTATCGGACTATTTACAGCGCCTGGGCGTGGGTTCAGATCTCGCCGGCCTCCTTTTCCTCCGACCTCCGTGACGCAGTCTTTCCATTGGTGCTCTCGAGCCTCCAGTCGGTGGCCCCCCGCTCACTCCGCCCGCGTTCCCAGGACTCCTCCCTTGAGGCCCGCTCTCTGGAGAACCTGGGAAACAGGAACCAGAGGCTCAGCAAGGGCTGGCCCTCCCTCCTGGCTGCTCCTCAGGCACTGACACCTTGGACCCTCAGCATCAGGCCAGGTAAGGGTAGGACCCACCACGGCTGGAAGGGCCCTAGCAGACCAGAGGGTGCCAGGCCTGCCGTCTTGTGCCCAACCCACTGCCCAGGGAGGGCTGGGCAGCCACTAGAAAGTGACATCTGCAAAGGTTTCTAGTAACAGGAAAAGCTTTCACTATAATGTGAACACTGCAAAGGAAAATACAACAAGAGTCCACACATGGAATACGATCCATTATGTAAAAACACAATGGAAAAAAAGATATTTAAAATTCATCACACCAAAGCTAACAGTGGTCGTCTCTGAATATGATCATTAGTGGTGTTTTTTATTGTTGCTGTTTTTCCTTTAAAAAACCACAACAGAGGTAAGCAGGGCCTAGTCAGGGGCTCTGTGTACCAAAGTGACAGTGAGTGTGCAGCCCCTGAGCATGGCCATGCCCACGTGCGACCACCTCCTCAGCCTCTCAACCGTCCCAGCCCTGAAGCCATCTGCTGCCCTCGGTTTAGGGCTCTCAGTGCCCTGGGCCCCATTCAGGACTCCTCAAGGCCCTAACACTCTGTCCCACAGATGACAGACCCCCAGACCCTGGCACACAAAGAAAGGGTTCACTCCTGGACGCAGCTACTGAAGGAGTCAGAGTAGTTACTTGTATTTCGAACTCCGGTCCCTGGATGCCCGGCGGTGGCCCCGGCTGTGGCTCCGGGAACGGCTTCGGTGGCGCCGGTGTCTGTCTCGGGACCGGGACCGGGACGACTTCCGCCGCTCTCTGGAGATAGATCTTGACCGCCTCCGACGCCGGTCCCGGGAGCGCGACCTGCAGCAGATGTTCTGCTGATGCTTTACTGTTATCTCCCCTCCTCCCATAAACTTACAACTTGGGTTCACAATAATCCTACCAACTACTCTGGTAACTACGGCCAGACCCTTCCCGCTGACGCTTCCTGTACATTGGCCAGGAAACTCCCGTCTGCCCAGCAGGCCCCAGCAGCGCCCTGACTGTCCCTCTCATTGACAGTGGGTCCCCACTCCCACGCTGCACTAAGCCCCAGCCAACGCCAGCTACAAACGGGACTGGAGTCTCACCCACGTCCTGTGCCCTTCATGAGCCAGACCTGACCACCAGATAGTAACTGTGAAGCTATAAAGGTTAAGTATTAAGTGCACATAGAAAAGAACATCTCACTGAGAACACATAAATGGAAAACCTACCTCCTGCGATCTCTGGTTCTTGATCCAGACCTAAAATGGAAAAAAAGATGAACAATTTCCCAAAAACAGCTCCATCCCTTACAGCTGAGGGGAGGTGCCTCAAGTTCACGTGGTGAAGGAGGGCCAACTTCCCAGAGGACCTGCTATAAGGCCCGCCTCCAGCCCCAGCTGCTTGGAGGCAGAACGCAGAGATCAGCACCCAGGGGTCCATGCTGCACTGAGTTGAACCAGTGGCTCTGCAAACTCTTCACAGTGGACACCACCTCAGCTACACAGATAGTCACATGGCAGGTGCAGGGCTGCGCAGGACACCCAAGTTGCAAACACAGGTTCACTGCCAGTGAGTGTCACATGAGCTCCCTGGGAAACATTATACAACCAACAACTAAGAAATGCACTTTACAATGAGGTCTCATTTCATTCCAAGTAGAAATTTACAAGATCACCACCAACATGTGCTCAAGGAGGAAGTGACAAAAGATGCTCACACATCATGTGGCTGGAGGGTGATCTGACAAAGCCTCTTGAAAAGCAATTTTTGTAACACCTACCAATATTTATATATTATATTCCTTTATCCCAGGAATTCTAAGGAATTTTATAAACCCTCAAACTCATACAAAGATGGTCACTAGATTACTTGTTCAAAAATAGTTTCATAAAAACTTAATCAAAAAATTTTTTAAAAAAGCAAAGGCTTTGGGCTTCCCTGGTGGCACAGTGGTTGAGAGTCCGCCTGCCGACACAGGGGACGCGGGTTCGTGTCCCAGTCCGGGAAGATCCCACATGCCGTGGAGCGGCTGGGCCGTGAGCCATGGCCACTGAGCCTGCGCGTCCGGAGCCTGTGCTCCGCCAACGGGAAAGGCCAAAAAAGGGAGAGGCCCGCGAACCAAAAAAAAAAAAAAAAAAAAAAGCAAAGGCTTTAAAAAACATAAAAAGCAAAGGCAACAAAAGCAAAAGTCAACAAGTGGGACTACATCAGACTAACAAGCTTCTGCGCAGTGAAGGAAACCATCAACAAAATGAAAAGGCAACCTGCTGAACAGGAGAAAGTATCTGCAAATCATGTATCTGATAACAGGCTGATATCCAAAACACAAAAAGAACTCTAAACAGAAGGGGAATAAAAAAGGTAAAAACATGGGCAGAGGACCTGAATAGACATTTTGTCAAAGAAGACATACAGATGGCCAACAGGCACATAAAAAATTGCTCAACGTCACTATTCAGCAGGGAAAAGCAAATCAGAACCATAATGAGATATCACCTCACACCTGTCAGAATGGCTGTCATCAAAAAGACAAGAAATACACTTGTTTGTGAGGATGCAGAGAAACGGGAATCTTTGTGCACTGTTGGTGGGAATGTAAATTGGTGCAGTCACTATGGAAAACAGAAAGGAGGTTCCTCAAAAAATTAAAATGGAACTACAATATCCAGAAATTCCAGTTCCGGGTATTTTTACCTAAAGGAAATGAAATCACAATCTTGAAAAGATAGCTGCACCCCCATGTTCACTGCAGCATTATTTACAGTAGCTTAAACATGGTAACAACCTAAGTGTCCACTGATAGATGAATGGATAAAGATGATGTGGTTGTACGTATACAGTGGGATGTTATTCAGCCACAAAAAAGATGGAATCCTGCCATGTGTAACAATATGGATGGACCTTGACAGCATTATGGTAAGTGAAATAAGTCAGACAGAAAAAGATAAATACTGTATGATCTCAGTTATATGTGAAATCGAAAAAAACCCAAACCCATAGATACAGAGAACAGACTGGTGGTTGCCAGAGGTAGGGAAATGGGGGTGGACAAAAGGGGTGAAGGTGGGAGAATAAAAGGATATAGTTAATTACAGCATCATAGTAGGGACTTTGTGTAGCCTTCAAGAGCACAGCTGCTATGGGAAGCTCTCACATGTGGAGGGTTCCACATATACCCATGCACACAACATGTCCAGTGACTGTCGTCACCTCTGTGTCTTTTTACTTAATATATTTTTACACTGTTTTGAGTCTATTTATAATCAGAATCTGTTAGATAGTTAAAATAATGAAAAGAAACACAAAAGATACAATAAAGGATTATTTGTCCTGAGTTATTCACTAAGGAATTCCTCCAGGAAAGCCCAGTTTCTGTGCCCAATATGAGAGCGTGGTTACTCGGCGCTCCAGCCTCTTCCTTGAACTCTGACCAGACCCACTGTCTCCACCTGCATGTCTCTTAGGCTGAAGGGATGTCTCTTAGGCTCAAATACGGCCACAGCCAAATTCTCCTCCCCACCTCCTCCTCATCCCAACACACCATTCCCAGTCTCCCCACCGCCATAAGCGGCCACTCCTGGTCAGAAACCCTGAGCCAGCTCCACTCCCCCTTTGCACAACTCGCTCTGTCCACTAGCAAATCCTATCAGCTCCACCCCCAGAACACATCATTCCCTCCTGGCCCTCACAGGGTTCAAACTGCCACCTCCTTGGCCTGGACCCCAGCTAGCTCACGTTCTCTCTGTGGGTCCTACCCACAAGCAGGCATGGCGGCGTGAGAGCATGTTCCTCTCTGGTGTCCCAGTTCCTGCCTGTCCTGCTGGTCAAGGGCTGCTCCACAGGAGGTGCTGTGACAGGTCCCCCTCCACCCCTGCCAGGGAGTCCACATCTTTCTAGGTAAGCATCAGGTGGCCACAGCTGCTCGAGCGGCTTGGGTGTCCTGTCCACACCACACAGCTGTGCACACAGGTCCTCCTGGACCAGCCAGAACCTCGCTTGACCGAACGTGCTATATGTTTGCTTATTTTTCTTTTAAGAGCCACCCAGGTAACTGGCAGACCTCAACTGTCAAGGGCAGTAAATATGCAGTGCTGCCAGGAAGAAGTGGGGTGTCCTCAGGTCGCATGTGCTCACCTCCTGCTCAGTCGTTCTTCCCGCTCCCTCTCCTCTCTCCTCCTCAGCCGATCCTGATTTCTCTTCTCCTGCTTTTCAGCCACAGTTTTCTAAATAAACAAAAAATAGGAAGATGGGGGAGGAACAAGTCACACACTAGAGTGAACATTATTGAACAAAGCACCTTTATGTGACCTCAATACTGGCAATTTAAGAACCTAAGAGAAACTCAGGAAACAGGAACACATTCTTCATAAAACCTCTTAAACAATGGAAAATACATGGGAAAAAAAAACGCTTTATCATTTTACAAGTTCAGTGACAAACTACATATCCTAAGTGCTGTACATCTAAGTCACAAAAATTTTATCATATTGCTCAAATCAATTCATAAATTTAATTTTTTTACCCCAAGGAGACTCCACAAACTTCATGTAAAAGAGAAAACATGTATCTGACCGAATCCATCTTGCTGCGGGAGCCAATCTGCCCTGCCAAGTTGCAGCCTGTCCCGGGGTGCTGGCGGGGCTTCCTGGGGACAGCAAGCTCCACACGTCCCATCAGGCTGGGTCATGGCGAGCACAGTGGACAAGGAAGGCAGACAGGCAGGAGGTGGCCTAGCAACCCCCCTGCCAGAGCACCATCCACTGGCTAGCTCAGAGCACCCCAAAATCAACTCGGAGCCTTTCAATGCCCCCCCTCACGCTGAGAGGAAGGCCCTGAGGGGGAGGAACTTAGAGCCAGGAGACAAAGGCCCGAGAGGGCATAAAGGGTGACCTTAAATCTCAGTTCGGATGGGAGCCAGGCCCCAGGAAGAGAAGGCGTGGCCAGGACAAGGAGAGGCCGAGAACCGGCCTGTGGGCTGGCATCACCTCCTTCCCAAACCCTCCCCACTCCCTAAAACACTAGGTTCCCCCACCTGAGGAAAGTCCTCACTCTTCTCACCCTGCACCCACCTTGGAGCATGGCCCAGGGGGTGCACAGCCCAGGGCGGGTGCACACCTCCAGTACCACTGGGAGTGAAGTCATCTCTGATTAGAGCACACAACTCCCACCTTCCTTATCGTTAAGAGGTGCACTTCCAAATACATTTTCTGTTGATAGTTTAGCAGCTATTTATCAAAATCTGTAACTTAGCTGGGTTGTTCTATCAACTATATACTGCTCATAACTGCAATGACAATACATGACTTCTAGATCAAGTGAATACTTAAATTCTAAAGGTTTCAATGTATTCTGAAGCAAAGGTACATCTTACGAAAAAAACAAAAGGCTTTCAGATATAAGAAACATTAGGACAAAATTCTGGGGTGTTATGGAATGGGAAGACAATTTAAAGGAAATTCCCTAAGGAGCAGATTTTTAATGGGGATGGTAGTTGACACCAAATTGTTATTTACATTCTACTGACTACATATAAAATATTTTTACGTGTTTTATACCCATAAATTTATAAGAAAAAAATTCCAACTTAAAAATGTGTGACAAAGAATATCATTTTTCAAAATTCTACTGGGAGCACAGGAGCAAATGTTTCAAGACCAGTGCTGAGACTGCCACCCAGCTCCCTCTCCCAGGGCCGAGTCGCACATCACTTATGGGGGACCGTCCCTGGATGCAGGGCCCTGCCATCCGCTGCTCCTTCCTGGGGGCACACAAGGCCCAAGGCCTTGACTATCGTGGTGTCCTACAGTCAGGTGCCATGTGTCTATCCTTCCAATAGATTTCAGGTGTCTGGATAAAAGGCCTGCACATTTCCCAGCATCCCATCATAGGGTCCCAGTACACAATTACGGAAAGCACCATCCATTTGAAGAAGACAATTCAAAATATCACAAACTTATTTAATCTTCCTCCTTGGCATTCCGTACCCAAGATGTCGAATGTTGTAGAGCTTAACCCAGAACAAGGAGGAGCCCCGAGGAAGGGACACAGGCATCCAGCAGTGAGGCAGGGCTATCAGAAAATGCCCCATCACCTTCTCATCCTTCTAGCCAGACCACCCTCCATGTGTCCGCCTCTGTCCAAGAAAAAAAATTGCAGACTACTGGCTCTTTCCCATCACCAACAGAAGTGTTTTCAGAGGGGTACGAGAACTCTCTGTACCGTGGGACTGAATTCTGCCATTTTCCTCTGTAAACAAGGGGTAGCAGACTAAATAAATATCCCAGGCTCTGCTGGATTCTGAGATCTTAGATCTCTTGTGGGAACATATGGATGAAGTCTGAGTAGTTCACTGTAAAACTCAAGTATAAAACCAAGGCATGATCTTAGAATCAGAACAGAAGGTTTTCAGTACCTCCACCAAACCCCCCCCCCAAAAAACAAAACAAAAACAAAAAAGAACACAAGGTTTTCTAAAAGCAAAGAGATGTGAAGACAATCAGAAAACTTCTCGGGTTTCTTCAGAAACACAACACATTAACATACCCTTAACTGATCGAGCTTCTCACGGATCTGAATGAACCCCAAGTGTAACTTGCCCCCGAAGTGGTCTGCAAGACGACGGTCATTGTCATGGAGACCAAGGTAGGCTGAACAGACTTCACAAACACGCAGCTTCTGCTGCTGAAAACTGGATGCAGGCATGGAATTCCTGTATTCTTCCTGGAGAAGGGGAAGAGAGTGAGAGTCAAATGTCACTGTCTACTCAGCCCCTAAAATGGAAGTATGTGAAGGGACTACAGAGATGACTTTTTTTTTTTTTGGCTATGTGGCATGTGGGATTGAACCCGAGGGTCCTGGCAGTGAAAGTGCCAAGTACTAAGTACTAGGCCACCAGGGAATTCCCTAGAGATGACTTTTTTTTTTTTTAATGTTTTATTTATTTTTTGGCTGTGTTGGGTCTTCGTTGCTGCGCGGGCTTTCTCTAGTTGTGGCGAGCGGGGGCTACTCTTCGTTGCGGGGGCTTCTCTTGTTGCGGAGCACGGGCTCTAGGTATGCGGGCTTCAGTAGTTGTGGCATGCAGGCTCAGTAGTTGTGGCACATGGGCTTAGTTGCTCCACGGCATGCGGGATCTTCCCAGACCAGGGCTCAAACCCGTGTCCCCTGCACTGGCAGGTGGATTCTTAACCACTGCACCACCAGGGAAGTCCGAGATGACTTTCAAATACATAAAAACTGAATCGTTTTCAAAGCTTCAGATTCTTGTAACCAGCCCAATTTTAATTGTTTAAGAAATGAACTACCAGTCATGATTTCAAAGCAACAAGGGGTATTCAGGACACTCAGACACACAGGATGCTGTGTGTGCTAAAAGGCTAGCAGGGAAGGTGAGTCCCTGCTATGGTGGAGAGCTCTGCAAAGACGAAAGAAACAAGAGGGGAGAATCTTCAACAGGGGTCTTAAAAAACAAACAAAAAACCTAAACCAAAGAGACGAGCAAAAAACACAGGAGTATCTACGGAGATTGTCCCAATGTTCAGGAAACTGTATCCCAACGCAGCTCCAAAAGCTAAAATTTGGAAGGACAAATACATTAGACACTCTCTTCAAAGGAGGAAGCGTGCCAAATGGAACAAAGCACACTCCCTCCTGCAGCCAGTGCAGTCTGAGTCTAATCCGAAGAAGTCACTAGGGACTTCCCTGGTGGCGCAGTGGTTAAGAATCCGCCTGCCAATGCAGGGGACATGGGTTTGAGCCCTGGTCTGGGAAGATCCCACATGCCGCAGATCAACTAAGCCTGTGCGCCACAACTACTGAGCCTGCGCTCTAGAGGCCGTGAGCCACAACTACTGAGCCCGCACGCCACAACTACTGAAGCCCGCACGCCTAGAGCCCATGCTCCACAACAAGAGAAGCCACTACAATGAGAGGCCCACACACTGCAATGAAGAGCAGCCCCCACTCACTGCAACTAGAGGAAGCCTGCGTGCAGCAACAAAGACCCAATGCAGCCAAAAATTAATTAAAAAAAAAAAAAGTCACTCGGCTTCAAAGCAAAATACACGAAACACAAAAGAAAATGAACCAGAACGTGGTTACTGTCGCTTGTGCTCAAGTTAAAACATTCCTTCAAAATCTAGGTTTAAGAAATGCATTTCAATAATCATTTGCCCTTAAAGGGAAGACTGAATGTAGTAATCTTCCATTAATTCACACATTCAAAATGTTCCCTAGGAAATGCAAATCAAAATAAGACATCACATCACTCACTAAACCGGCAAAGGTACAGAAAGGCACTCTAGTGCCCAGGACCCCCACTGTCCTTACTCTGGCCACTGTCCCCATCCTCATCACCTGAGTGCCCCCCATAGGCCTTCCTCAGAACTACAGGACAGAACAGGATGGGGTAGGGTGCTCTTCCTCCCCTTAGCAGGAGGCAAGGCTGTCTCGTCATCCTAAGAAATGATACAGAGAGGTGCTGCGTACTCTTTACCCAGTTTCCCCCAATGGTTCTATCTTTAAAAACTATAGCACAACATCACAGAAAGAACACTGAGTGATACAGTCAAGGTTCAGAACATCCATCACCACAAAGGTCCTGCCTGCTGCCCCTTCACAGCCACACCCACTTCTCTGACTCCTGGTGACCACCAATCTGCTCTCCATTCTTATGGTTTGGTCATTTTAAGAATGTTATATAACAGATCCACATAATATTTAACCCTTTGGGATTGACTTTTTTCACTCAGAATAATTACAATTGATTTTGAAAGAGATTAGAGGAAGGCATTCAAAGTTTTACAACTACAGAGAGGGGCAGAATAATATCACAAATAGTGTACCCACCATATTCAGCACTTCTGCTTAAGGTTTTTGTTTTTCTTTTAATGAAAGATATAGAACATTATGATGGAAATTCAGTTCCTGATGTTTCCCTCTCTAGTGTCTGTTCTCTCCCTCCCCAGAGGCATTCGTGTGCGTTCAGCATAATCTTCAGTGCTGTCTCTGTACTTCATTGCACATGTGGACCCATAAACCATGTGTGCACCTGGGGCATTTAGAAGTCCTGCGTCAGCACTACAGGTCTTTCTCCCACCTGTGTTGCTGGAGAGCTCTCTCCAGGATGTGGCAGGCAGATGTGTTCAGTTCGTTCACTGCTGCAGGACTCCATTTCAGGGGCACATGGCTGTTTGTCCATGGGTGGTTTTCCAGGTTACCGACGGTTGCTCATTTTACCAGTTCTGCTGTGAGCGTCCTTGCACCTGCCTTCTAGCAAGGATGCTTGGAGTCCTGGGCACAAGTTGCCATGGGTCCCCTATCCTGCTGCCCTCTTGGCTGTCTGCAGACATCCAAGTGGTGAACCCCACATCTACAATCATTCAGCCTATGCATAAATCTCGGAGCCATCTCACGGGTTTCTGGTGTCTGCTCTGCTCTTCAAAGCAGGAAGGCTTGGCCTCAGGACTCGCTAAGAGGCCGCAGAGCTTCCTTCCTGACCCTCTGGCCTTTCTGCTGGAGCTGTCAGCAACCGAGGGAGCCTGACTTTTTTTTTTTTACATATAAACATAAATTTCCCATTTAAGTACACAGGGGTTTAGTATACAGCCGTGTAGGATTTCTACGCAGGACTTGCGACTCTTCATGCACACGTCACTGCCTGAGTGGGCCTCGCTCGAACACCCACAGGCAGTCAGCAGGATTCGTGTATTCAGCTGAGAATCGTTGTGTCATCGCTGAGCTGCTACTATGTATCAGGCACCATGACAAGCCGGGGGTGCAGCAACAACCAAAACCAGCCCTGCACTGGGGCACCGCCCACTCCACCATCTCACCTCTACCCACCATTCTGAGAACCTTCTCATCTGGTCTCAGCTAAGGGCCTTCCAGGGTCCCTCTGTCCTACCTGGACACGCCCTGCACCCCCCAAGTGCACCCATCTTCATCAGAATTAATCTTATCCGTTGCTCACATTCCTTTCTGCCTGGCCCCCCTCCCCACAGCAGTATCATCTCCAACAGGAGAGGGAGTCTTCCGGCTTGCTCACAACTAGAGAAGTGCCTGGCCCATAGCTGGAGTTTGACAAACACTTACTAAAGGAACAAACCCGCCCCGTCTTCCTCTGACTACCATTCCCACCGTTCTCGAAGCCTGCCCAAGCCATCTCCGATTCCAGCAGTGAGATTTGAGAACCAGGGAGTATGCAACAGAGGAAATCATCTAGGAGGAAAACGGTTGTCATGGATACAGACATTGAGTCCCTGACTCAGCTTCTCCACCACACAGCAGTGTGTCCTGGCCTGGCAGCCTAGCGGACACCACCTGGGTACCACCCGCAACCTGCACGGGTCTTTCTACTGAGGACACAGTGTCACTAAGCACCAGGCCTCACTGTACATAGCATCTGCAATGCAAGTCTGGCCCAATTACACCAGGTGAACACCCACCACGCTGCCCCCTCCCTGGGAGCCAGATGGACAGACGGCAGGTGCTCACTAACACTCCTCCGCTGACTGTTATACTCAGGACGCACTCTACACGTGGGAATAATGCGCAGAGCTGGCAAGTGCCTAGTCTGAGGCCACACGGGGTCACAGGGACAGAGTGAAGACACAAACCCCAGTGTGTGCTGACTCTAAACCGTACAATCCTGACAATATACCACCTTATTTCCAACTCCTTCCCAATATGTATACAAAAAAAGAAGGCATGGCTTAATCTTAGCCCAAAAGGTCAACTCTGGAGTTACTACTTCCTCCCTCTCTAAGACATTTTTGTCACCAACCTCAGCTTCTTTTTTCTTTGCACGGACTTTCTCCACTTCCATAAGAATCTTCTGGGATTCATCCACATTTCCTTCAGCTCCTAGCTGTTCAGCTTTAGCAAGAAGCTTCCCTATTTCTTCGTTCAACTCATGTACTTTTTCTGCCTACGAGAGAGAAACAATCAGGTAAGGAGACATCTAAAAACAACAGATTTTTTAATGCAAAGAAAACGAGTGTTTCTCTTGTTGCATTTCTGGTCTGTTCCACTGAAAATATTAGAACAGCTGGAAACCCTCAATGATGACATGTGAATTCTAACAATTACGACATCCTTAACGCCACCACTGAGACTGATCATAACTAGACCTGTGCACCACGTTCCAATAAAAGCAGTGGCACCGCTGTTACTGCCAACCGGTTGCAAGGACCATCATGTGGGTCAGCTTCTAGACCATCTCTTTTTATGCCTTCTACTACAGTTCAATCTTCTGGGTAAGGGTAAAAAAATGCATGGGTCTAAATGCATACACTTATACTGTAAGCAAAATGCCTAATTTTGGGGATTTGCTTTCAGAAATAAAATGGCACCGTTGATCCAGTTTGCAACTGTCTATTTCCTAAGAAATGCTTTTATAAAACTGAAAGGAAAAAAGACACTGAAGAGAGTTCCACTGAAGAGACAAGGGTCATCCAGATGACACACAGGCCAATTTCACACAGATCTACTTTCTTCTTCCATGATATGGATGCACCACAGTTTAACCATTTCCCTGCTAACTTTTCTCATTTCCTGTTTTATGTAGGAATGTTAAAAAAAAAAAAAAGAAACTTTAAAACATACGCACACGTGCGCACACACACACAAAAAACAAAACAAACAAAAAAACCCACACGCACAGTGTGGGGAGGGGCTAAGAGCTCAGCGACGGCCTTCCCTCCTCACTGGGAACAGCCAAGGCAGTGGGTACCATCCACCCCAAAGATGCACACTCAGCAGTGACCGTGACTGCTAGCCCGGTGGCAGCCCAGTTCTTACAACAACAATGTGAGGCGAAGGCCTCCCCAGCATACCTTTGCGGAAACTTCTGCACTGATCTCCTCCTGCGTCTCTGCCAGCCGCTTCTTGGCAAGCTCAGTTCTCCGATCACACTCAGCAATAAAGGACTCCAAGTGATCCATCGCCTAGCTCAGGAGAGGCAGAGAGCTACAGTCAGTGACACGCCTACGACCTCAGAACTCACGTGTTCGATAGGAAATAACAGTCCTGGGTTGGTTCTTAAAGCCTGTAGGTTCAGTGGGAAGATCTGAAGCTACACTACAGCTAAAATGTCCACAATCACATTCAATTAAGGGGCTCTGTTAAACCAAATGACCACTCAAAAGCATGTCTTCTCATCTGATTTATTTATTTCCAAAATTTGTAAAAGAACCCCCATCCCTCAACAACGTTTCCAAGAAATTTCTGAGGAAAATTAAAACACCTGGCCATAACTAACAGTGGTCTCCGAGGGTCAGAAAAGGCTGGACTGAGCTAACGTCAGAGGCCCTCTCCTGGTGAGTCGTGGGAGATGCAGATGATGTACTCACTGGTCTTTGTGAGCCACGTAAATATTATTCCCTCATGCTCTGAGGGTAGAGTTCCCCCTTCCACCTCAAAACAAAACAATAGAACAAATGTTACTGAGAGCTGTGAACACGTTTAGTTATTGCCCACCGTCTAAAGTAGCGGGAAAACTGGTTACTACTTACCCAAAAAGGTAAAGGAAAAGACACTCTGAAAAGAGTTGGTGGGAATCAATAAAATACCAATTAATAAGCAGTCACATATGCTAAGCACTTAATTTGCCGTAATTAGTCAAAGGCCCCAACATAACTTCAGATAAACATACAAACAGGACGTCACTTTCCCAACTGTCAGGCTAGGACCAGTGATAAGTAGCACCTCCCAAGTTGCTGAAGTCAGCATCATGTTACATAGACAGCAAGTGAGGTTAGCAGTGGATGACCGGGTTAGACAGGGTGAATGATCCACCGCTGAAAAATAGAGAAAGGAAAGTTCTGGGTGGAAATGATAATAAGGCAGGTGAAAGTTAGGCCAACGGACCAAAGGAGTGATAATCTATGTCTCTTCCTCCAAATATGGTCAGGACAGAGCACTCCTCAAGGATTGGTGTGACACTGGAATGGACAGTAGGGACACTGGAGAGGATTACAGTCCCCTCTTTTCAAATGAATGCATACTTGGGAGTAGGTCAAGACAGGGAAGAGGCTCGTGATGGTGCCAAGCCCCACTGCCCACAAGGCCAACTCCCAGATTTCACTCCACACACTTGGAACTCAGGACCTCTTTCCTGTCATTGGTCCCCAAATATTCTCAATAAACATTTCACTATGTTCAAATCAAACGAGCAGGAAAGCCGATGACTGGCATTTGTTTGCATGCATGCACTGCATTTCCTGGAAGTATGTCAAGTTGACCAGCTCTGCTGACAAGGTGGGGACTTGCCAGGATCAGAGCGCCAGTGAGCTGACTCGGGTCACGTACCATCTGTGCTCACCTGGAACAACAGCTCCTAACAGACCAGCCTGAGAGGTGCAAGGGTCATGCATGCACACGTGCTGAGACTTTGATGCAGAGTTCCTCTATTGTCTACCCAAAAAGAGGGATCTCACACCTGACACAGCCAGGGATCTGCTCAACAGGGATTGAGTGGGGAATACACATTGACAGTTCTGCCAGTGCTTTTACCAATCAAGGCAACCAGCTGCATCTAAGCAAAATATAAACTGACTCAGACATCTGATAAGCTAAAAATTAAATGGTAAACTTCACAACACAGACTAGACATACTGCAGAGACGTCTCTTAACTGCCATGTTCTTTAAAAGATGACTCTGTCCTACTGCCCCTCCCTCTCTTCAATGTGCTTCTCAATTCCAGATTGGTTCCTAAATCAAAAAGCAGGTTTAGCGTTTCCCTGGTGGTACAGTGGTTAAGAATCCGCCTGCCAATGCAGGGGACACAGGTTTAAGCCCTGGCCCAGGAAGATCCCACATGCCGCGGAGCAACTAAGCCCATGCACAACTACTGAGCCTGCACTCTAGAGCCTGCGAGCCGCAACTACTGAAGCCTGCGCCCCTAGAGCCCATGATCTGCCACAAGAGAAGCCACCACATGAGAAGCCCATGCACTGCAACGAAAAGTAGCCCCCTCACGCCGCAACTAGAGAAAGCCTGCACGCAGCAATGAAGACCCAACGCAGCCAAAAAAAAAAAAAAGCAGGTTTAAATGATTAAAAAAAAAAAAAGGTACTCAAATCTAAAAATTAAGTCCTAATCACAAGGTACCACTTACTAGGAAGTTATCCACCTTTGTAACTCAGGGGTGGTGTGATGAACCATGAACTATTCAGGGGGCCTGGGCACACCGCTGGCACAGGGGGCACACAGGTCTCACTGCCGCTGGAGGCTGTCCGTCCACACACAGGACCATGAAGTGCTCTCCCTGACCCTGCCTGCCTAGCAGCATCAGTGAGCCTAAGAGGAGCCCATGCTGTCAGCAGAACAGTCACAGCAAACGTGTGCCTCAATACAGCCACGCAGGGGCTCTCAAGGTACCCAATTTTCAGATGAAGAAATGGAGGCACAGTCTCCAAACTCCTGAGCGATGGCATCAGGATGCAAAGCCCCTTGTGGTTTGACTCCAAAGTACCTACACTTAGTCCTCACAGCTCTGAGGCAGTTTTCACCAGCCCAGTTTATAGAAAATAGAAAAGGGCAAAATAACTTGCCCAGGGTCACACAAGGACTCTCACCCAGGACCTGACTGGGAAAGCGTGACTGTCACACTGCACACCTACAGAGACCAGGTGTAAGCAGAACCGGTCCCATTAGTTGATATGGTGTGTTGCTCTGGAAACCTGTCAAATAAAACATCACAAAGCAAGACAATGTGGGGGAAAAGTGAACCATATTTTCACTGAATTAGAGAGAAGCAAATCTTTACATTTTCCACATGTGAACACTGAAGAAATGGGCTGCCCTGTAACCTTAATGTTCTGTGTGTCTGTGTTCAAGTTGAAAAACATGAGATGTATTTATAGAGATGACCAATTCCCTGTCCTAGGGAATTCCATAACACTCTCAAGAAATCAAGGCCTGGCCCTGGTGCAGTCAGAATGAGGCTGTACTGGGCTAGAAGGAGCCAATGGTGAGGCACTTTCTCCCAGATAACCTGAATTTGGGGTGGAAAAGTGCCAGAGGTCCCAGCCATCAGCCCAAGCTGAGGGTCTAGGCAGTGAACACCTACACAGAGAAACACCTTTATGACAACCCTGTCAGGCCCACAAAGAAATACCTTTTTACACCTTTCTGACTGGCAAAAACTGAAAGTTTGGTAACTCGCTGCTCTGTTAGTAAAGATGTGAAAATGGGAACTCTCACACATCACTGGTGGGATCATTCACCCCTCTGGAGAACTCCATGACACTAACTACCAAAACGACAAAAGCACATCCTTTCTGGGCCAACAGTCCTGCTTCTAGGGATCTTTCCTAGATACACTCACAATGTGCCAATGTGCAATGCAGCACTATGACCATCAACAGGGCATGGTCCTATAAAACAGACAAACATCCTGTGGAATACTACGTAGACACAAAAGGATGAAGTACACTATACAATAGGAAATAATCTCAAAGATATGCTGAAAACTTAAACCAAAAAAAAGGGAAGGGGGGGCAGATATAGAGCATGTGTACAGCAGACTACTATTTGTGTTTAAAAAAAAATAGAGGGTTTCCCTGGTGGCACAGTGGTTAAGAATCCGCCTGCCAATGCGGGGGACACGGGTTTGAGCCCCAGTCCGGGAAGATCCCACATGCCGCGGAGCGACTAAACCCATGTGCCACAACTACTGATACTGCACTCTGGAGCCGGCAAGCCACAACTACTGAGCCCACGGGCCACAACTACTGAAGCCTGCGCACCTAGAGCCTGTGCTCCACAACGAGAAGCCACTGTGATGAGAAGCCCACACACCGCAACGAAGAGTAGCCTCCGCTCACAACTAGAGAAAGTCTGTGCACAGCAACGAAGACCCAACACAGCCATAAATAAATAAAATTTATAAAAATAAAATAAAATAGAAAGTAGAGATACATGTCCCTCAGGTATCCACATAATCTCTGAAGGAAAGAGAAGAAACCAAACAACTGGTTACCTCTGGGGCCAACCAGGGGGCTAAAGAACAGAGAGAGAGGCAGGCTTCACAACATACCTTTCATATCTCAAACTCTTAATCACGTGAGTGTTTTACATGTTTTTAAGTTACTGACAGGACTTCCCTGGTGGTCCAGTGGTGAAGAGTCCGCCTTCCAATGAAGGTGATGCAGGTTCAATCCCTGGTCAGGGAACTAAGATTCCATATGCTGTGGGGAAACTAAGACTGCATGCCACAACTGGAGAGCCTGCGATCTGCAACTACTGAGCCTGTGTGCTGCAACTACTGAACACATGCGCCACAAAAAAGAGCCCGTGCGCTGCAAAGAAAGATCCTGTGTGCCGCAACTAAGACCCAATGCAGCCAAATAAATAAATAAACAACGGACAAGCAGTAACCCTAGTGACATAACTGATCTAGGCAATAATCCTCAACTGCTGCTTGAAGCATGAGGCCAAAGGCTGATGGGGGCCTGTGCAACCAGGTCAGGCTGCCTGTGCCACCCAATTCCACTGACGTTTTGCCACCCGAGGTGACGCACCAGCCAGTGCCCAGCCCGGCCCCTGCACTACTCTGTCAAACGAGAACCTGATTCTGACCGTCAAGCTTCCAGATCTAACTCCCAGGTTATAGGAAGTTTCAAAGATAAAGGAAAACACATTAAAAAGACTGCATTATAAGGATGCAATCAGCAAAATCCAGGATATGAGAGACTTAAAAATTAATTTCTTCAAACAGATTTAAAATGACTTACAATACATCCTAACGTGTGGCTCTTACTTTGAATTCTGAGTCAAACAAATGATCGTAAAAAAAATACTTTTTGAGATAGTCTGGGAAATTTGAGGACTTAGATAATGTTAAAAAATTATTTCTTAAATTACCAATACTTTAAATAAAATTATCTTCTAGATGTACTATTTGCAGTACTTACAGATGAAATTCTATGTCTAGGAACTACT